TAATGTTTCTTAATAAAATTAGAAGATCAAATTTTTCCAATCGGTAAATTAGATTTTTAGTTTCATCAATATGTAGTAAGGAAATTTGATTTACATATTAATTAGAATAATTAAATTATATGAAATCTCTTCGAATCTATCTGTATTCCAAAATTTCCGGTTAGTCATCGCTGCTAGCAGATAATTTTAGTACAATTTTTTAACTTATCAAGTGAATTCATATGAATGAAATTTATTCCTTTAAGCTAAGTATATATTTGATTGAAAAAAAAAACTATTTGGAACAAATAGCTTTGATGACAAAAAAAATTAGAATTAAATGTACCATTCAAAGGGAATTCGTGAAGTATTGCAATAAATGCTTGAAATTATTTCTAAAAATTATTTTCATATTTTTTTTTTGATTTAATACTTCAAAAAACTGTTTCACAAAAACAATGAATTTCGATTTCAATAAATATAAATGAATTTATTTAGGTGAAAATGATTGAGTTAATGGACAAAAAAGTTTACTATTCAAACATAAAAACATAGTTTAAAATTGTTCCTTGCAATTATTTACAGATTTTTGTTTCATTCACGAAGGGCAAATATCTTTAAAAGCTGAAATAGAAGGGAAAAGCTAATTTCAAGAGATGGAAGGAAATCTTAATCATCTCAAGGGGATTACTAGCTAGTTCATATTTCTAAAAGCTTTGCGAATGCTTTGGTAATAAACTTTCAAAGATGAACAAGTTTTCCTCCTTCTGTTTTATTTCGTTTTATTTCCCAAACAATTTCAGTTTTTTTTTTTCTGAAAGAAAAGTTTCGAATTATATTGCGAGTATTTATTATTTAATTTGATGATTATTTTGATCATTACATAAATATATCAGATGAATTAATTATATATACTGTTTTTTTCAAAATATGTATAATTTATAATTAAAACAAGAATGGAATACAATTTAAAAAGAAAAGTCATGTTTTTTTCCAATTCTAAAATGTTCATTGACTTGATCAATTTTATTATTTGTTCCTATCCATATCATGTTATTTATGGTTACCGATCTATTTATTTATATTTTTAATGAATTCATTTAATTATTAGTTTATGAAATTATCGATTACATATCTAGTAAACTTCAATTGTTGTGCTAATCGATGTTAGCCGATAATATAAGTAAGTCAATTAATAAATTAAATGAACAAACATCAGATATGAATGAAAACGGTTAATGTCAAAATTGTTACAATTTCAGAAATGGTAATTTTATGTCAATGTGTTGGCTATTTTTCATTGTAAATTTTTTATTTTCAAATTTTAAACAGTGCTTTAGAAGTTTTTAAAAAAAACAGTTTACTGATTAGTTTGAAAAATTTTAAAGATTGTAAAATAACAAAAAAAAAGTTGCATATTTAGCTTTTATTGTTAATATAAAATACTTTTTCAGGTTATTTAAAATTTAATCGGAGTTTTTATTTTTTTGAAATTTCAGAAAGCACGGAAGCGAGGTATGTCAGTGAAACGGAAAAATACACGAATTATAACGGGCGTGAAATCGATCGGCATTAAGTCGGTGGATGAATATTTCAAGCAGGCTATCGTACCGTTAGCCGTATCAATTGAAATGCGTGGCGTGCTTGAATCTGCACTGGTTTGTTTAATTTACCGCAGTAAGCCGAGAATAAGGGTAATTACATGAGTAGGCAAGAGATATGTGGAATATTTTTTATTTGAATCAGTTATTTTAATGTTGTTATTTTTAATATTGAAATTTTAGTGAAGCGGGTTATAGGTCAAATGGCGAAACGATTGTGGTATTGGACCAGCTGGTACTATCAGACAGGGTTTGCGACTTATGTTAGCACGAACAAAAACTGCTGCAATGAATGGTTTGTGTGATTTCCATTTATTTATTACAATTTTCATCAATTTTATTTCATTTCAAAATGCAATTTTAAATTTTCTAGAAAATATATGACAAATAAAAAAGGATAAAAATACGACAAATTCAATGCTTTAAATAGTTTATTACAAAATCCATTTTTAAAAGTGTTAAAATAAAGAAAAAATTAATTAATTAATTAGAAATAAAATTTAGTTGTTTTTTTTTGAGCTTTCTCAATAGTTTTCATAGATGACTTTTAGATTAAAATGCAAGCAAAGTTTATTTTGATGATTTCAAGAATGAGCAGATTAAATCTAATAATAATTTAGCGGTCGGATATAGTAAATCGCATTTTCATCTTAATTATATTTCAATTAAATTTTATTGCATTATCTGAATAGACCAAATCTATTAGATAACAAATTATTTTATCATTAAATTAATGGATTACTGTATTTGCAGTATCGCCTCCGCATGTATCTCACAGATCAGACGATTCAAACGAATTAGTGAATAATTCGCCAGGTTTTGCAATATGCAGCAACGAGAAAACTGTATGTTAATGAAATATAAACGAATCGGTTATGAAATTTCTATTTGAATGACTTGATAACAAAGACAATCATAAATAATCTTATAATTAATATTTAACCGCAACTTAATAAGCAATAAAATTGGGTTTAAAATTTGCAATCCATAAATCATACAACAATCTAGCAAATTTAATCACACAGCAAGAACTATAATTTCAGTTGTGAATTAAATTTGACTGAAATTTGTCTTGTTTTTTAAGTTGAATGCTTGCTATCAAAAATCGATGTGATTTTTCTTTAAAAAAGTATAAAATTCGAATATTTTTAATTGAAAGCTACCGTAATACGCTTTTTCATATTGACACATTTTTGCGAAAGTTGTATTCGCATATGATCAAATATAAATTTTGAACAAATTTACTAACATTTCTTTTTTACTTCTTTTGTCTGAAGAAAAAACTATAGTGAAAACTTCAATATCAACTTTTTCGTTTTAAAACGAAATTAAAAATTCATTTCGAAGTATAAAGCAATCAAGATGTTTAGCAAATGTTGCAATAAATTTGCAACACTCGAAACATTTTATTTACTGGCAATTCATTTCATATTAAAAAATTTATCGCATTTCTTTTCATATATGCAATTTATATTTAATATATTTATTATCACATTATTTGAAAAAAAAATTCGATAAAAGTATCCAGAAAGTACTTCTTACAGTACTCGTTACAGTATCCGATGATTGTAACACGTGGTACATTTCCCGCACAGCTACAGAAAACATTTGATTCAATGTCCGAACTTTTGGATATTTGTGCAAAAATATTGGTCAATACTGAACCATTATTAGCAAAGGTTTGTTTAAGAATAATAATGCAGAAAAGTAATGCATATATCTTTGAAATTTACTTTTTTTGGAAATTTGCTATATTATTTCAAATACATAAATTTAATAATTCGTTTCCTTTTTTTGTTTTTTTTTTATCATTATTATTTGAACGAAATTGTACAGTGAAATGCAACTTTGATATTCTTTATCACAATTAGTTAATATTTTTTAGCCTAATTTGATATCTATTCAAATAACAAAACTATATTCTTTGATTTAAAATAAAAATAATTGATGAATTTAAGTTATTAAGTAGTAAAATTTTAGTTAGAAATAGCAACAAAACGTATCACTGAATGTAACAGTGAATTATCGGAGCTATGCGTCAATGCTGGATTACACGGTGTGAAAGCTACCCGAGCAACAGAAAATTTTGCATGGAATGTTCGACTTTTAAAAACTCATCTAACATTAATGCATAAAACACAAACTGAAGCTAACAATATTGTCGAACAAGTTAGTTGTTTTCATTTTAAAAAGAAGTTCCCTAAATTTTATTTAATATTATAGAGTGATTTAAAACTAAAGTCTCTTGCGTAATGCATTTTATTTTTTGATTTTATAAATGAAATAATAAGTTTTAACATTCGCTCGTACTCTATTTTTTGCATAGTTCCTATTTTAGCTTTATGTATCTGAGCTCATATATATTCTGAATTTATCACTAGCCAAATATATGTTAGCCTAAGAAAGTACAGTAAATATCAGGTCCAACCAAGAATTATTGAGATAAATATAGAAATAAGCATTTAAATAATAATTGATCAAAGCAAGAAAAAAAAAACAAATATGTAGTTCAACATGCAAAAAATAAAAGAAATTAAAATTTTAATTTCTATTTACAATTTATTTTCTAAAATCTATTTGACCTATTGTAATTAAATTGATACTATTTGATTATAAATAAAAAATTATCGAATAACGTTTGAATTTTTGTGATATTAATGATAAATGATAAAATAGATGATGTCAAAATTGCGCAGCATAAAATTCAACCACAAATAAATTCTGTTAATTTAGATTAAAGAAAATTCATATTTCAGGTATTTGATGTTGGTTGTACGTTGGGAGTGTTATCTGAAAAATCCACTGCTGAAATGTGTGGACATCGTTTTTCTCGTTCTTCCACCAGTTAAATTTATTCACATTCTTTTTGTTACAATTTACTATTAAGTATAAAAGTTCTTCTTAGTACGATTTATTATTGTCAAGTAATGATTATAAAAAAGAAATCTGAAAAAGAAATATCATTTTTTTTTTTTTTAAATGAAGAATATCACTCGTCAACAACAAAGAATATAATGTTTTCATGAGTTATTATTGGAAGAAAAAATGTCATTTATTGCTTAATTACTGAAAAAAAAAGAACTGAAATTGATACATATTTAACAAATGGCATACTTTTGAAATTTTCATTTCAAAAAAGAATATAAATCAAAAAAATTTTATTTTTTTAAAATTTGAATTCAAAAATTGTATAAAACAATGAAAAATGTCGTTTACACATTCAGTTCCTCTTTTTGTCTCATTTTTTATTCGATTGATTTTCCATTTCTTCTTTCTTTTCTTTTTTAAATGCTGCCAGAAGAGAAAAACAAAAATTTTAACAGTACTGAAAATATTATCCAAACATTTAATAGCATCGATAAGTTAAGTGTTTACCAGAAGAATGTATAAATTGTTTTGTTAATTTAAAAATTTTCATATCTTTCATTTATGATTTGACTAATCAGATATGGAAAACATCTGGTAAGCAATATTACAAATATCATTTGCTAATAGAAAAATTTTTTTTTTTTACATTTTTCTCATGTGTATTACCTTTCTCAAAGATTTCAATATTGGATTTAAATTAAAAGATTTCCAAAATTCAAACTGTACAAGTGAAAAGGTTTTGCTGAAATGCAGAATAATGTTGGATAAAAATTTTTGAAATTTCAAAAATTGTACTATGAATGATTGATTGGTAACAAGTATTTTTTTACTATTTAAAATAGTAGTATTTGTAATTTGTAATTTTTGAAAATTCTTAATGCTATGGTCATAAATAGGGCAATGTTTACATGCAGAATTTTCTTCCGAAATAAGTAATAGTCGAAAATAAACTTATCAGTTGAATCCCAATGAAACATCGAAAATTTGCATATTTTATTACATATTATATACCATTTGTTAACCTTTATGAATAACACATTCATTTTAATTATTAAATTTTTAATGCATTGGGCAAAAAAAATTCTCAAAATATTTTATTCTATTTCAAATTTTTCAAAATTTTATTCTATTTCAAAAAATTTTTTTTTTGTATGTATTTAAATAAGAATGATTGTAAGCATAAATGAAAAAGATAATCATTCCATTTTAAGAAATTTTTTTATACCCGAATATATCTGAAAATCAATAACTTCGAAGAAAATGCTTGAATAACAAAAAATTGCTATTATTATATTACCGTAATTATAATATCATTATTGTTTTTAACCCAGCAACTTGCATATCAGAAATAAGAAATAAGATGAAAAGGATGAAATAAATTTGTGGCAGAAATGGCGGGAATGTTAGAGCGATTACAAAGATTACAAGAAAAAACGAAAAATAAAAAAAAAGACGGATTTGAAAAAGTTTATATATTTTTGACAAAAGCTTTAAAAAATTTTTTCAAGAAATCCAATACGATTTTATTTATGGTAAAAGAAATTTTGTTACGAAAAGCAAGAAAAAAAAAGTAACAAAAAGTAATTCGACAAAACTTCAACATTTTTAGACTTTTTCATTTGAATTACTCTTAATTATTATATTCAACGTATGCGAAAAAAAGCGATGAATGGCTTTAGATAATAAATTGTGAAAAAAAAAACAAAAACTCAATCAAATTTAAAATTTTTTAAGCGTTTTCTGCTTAAGCTATATTCAAAGTATGACAATAAAAATGTTGTTGGTGTTTAAAATGAAATTATAAAAATATCCGTTGAATATTTTGATTTTGCAAATTTTCCGATACTTTCACCAATGCCGGTAGTCTGATCAAATCGTCGTGAATAATCGTTTGTGCAGCTGGCAAAAAATCGTCATTATTGTTATTATTATTATTGTTGTTGTTGTTGCTGTTGTTGTTGCTGTAATAGTTATCGCAGTTATTAATAGCATCATTTTTGAATATTGTTGATAGCTGAAATTTTGATCAAATTTTAAAACAAATTTAAATGATATTCGAATTGGAATACATATGATATTTTGTTTACGAATATTGCAAAATTTTCTGGAACAAAAATTTTATTAAAATGGTCAAATTTTTATTCAATCACCTTTTTCGAAAAAAAATTTAAAAATGGATGTTTTCAGTTAAAATGAATAAATGACAGATATGTCAATTTTTAATTTCATTTTTATTTCTTTTACAATTTTCTCATTTGTTTTTAATTTTTTTTTAACACTGAAGAATACACTTTGTCAAATATGCAGTTTTTATAAACCTAAATAATCCGGAAAGTAAAATATTATTTCGGTTTTCCATCCCTCCAATAATTATTTAGTAACTTCTAATTTTTAAATTTAGCATACTATTTTATACAAAATTTTAGCATAAAGAACATAATAATTCAACGGATGTTTTCGATTCGGAATAAATTTTACCAACTGTAGAAAGCACTTTTTTGGCTGTTTTTTTTTGAGTAATTCTTAATTTATTACTTTGGCATGATGAATATCCCGCATCGTTTCTACCGAATGATGTTGTATGCATGCTTCTTGTAGTACCATTTCAAAACTTCGTCTCGGTCGATGCATTATAAGAACTACATAAAACATATATATTAAATAATTAATGAATTAAATTTGAAAAAAATAATGGTAGAAAATATACTGAATTACTTTGCATAACTCCGAGTTAAGAACATTTTAAATTTAATAAGAATTTTTGAAATGATTTTAAGTTCGATAGCTTCAAAAGTAGTATGAGAATTCATAATATATCACATAAAAATATTACTATCATATAACATGATAATTTATAATATTTTTAATCAAAACTTCAAATTATTTTTGTTGCTTTTTTTAACTCTAAATTATTTAAAATTTCGTAAAAATTTTTTTAAATTATGTAAGACCAATAAGGCATACAATGGCAGCAATCATACAATTCAAAATTATTTCAGATATTTTGCCTGAAATAAAATTAGTGATTGCTTGATGAACTTTAAAAATTTTGAACGAGACGTTTTTAGAAATTGACGGCAAAAACTTTTTTTCTTAAAATATATTAATTGATTTAAATAGAATCGCCTAATGATCTGATAACAAAAATTTCTTCCTGGAAATTTTGTGATGGTAAAGGTGTGGCAAGCCAGGCCTTAAGATTTTATTCATCTCCTAAAATTCTTCCTCACTAAAATAGAACGATTGATAACTTTGATTGCTACCAAAATGTTTTAAAAATAAAACATGGAATAAAATATAAGGTGTAATTATTTCGACAAATTAACTTGAAATTAGTAATTGCTATTGCTACTAGCATTCATATCAAATTTTTATGAATTACTTCGAGAAAAAATTCAGAGAAAAGAATAAAAATATTGAAACAAGGACAGAGAGAGAGAGAGAAAAGGAAGCTAACCGAATATATAAATGATGCATAAACATGTTATCAATTTCGATTCATTACTAAATATAAATTTAAGCTATTCGTCGGATGCGTTTTGTAACACTTTTTCTTTGAATAAATTAGATCAATCCATTGATGCTTGAAGTTTGCATCAATTCAATTTATATTTTCATAAAGTTGAAGACACTTTTTTTTTCTTTCAACAGATTGAATTAATATTTTTCTTTCCTCTTTTTACTTTTTCTTTTTTTTTTCATACTACTGATTAATTCTAAATGACTAAATTTGTAGAATTTTCAAATTCAATAAAACAGCCTAGGATAGCACTGAAAGTATTTATTTACTAGTCCTAATCATTTAACAAATAATTTCCTTTATTAGCTTTCAACGCATTATCAATCAGAAAGTTGATTTGAATTTTGAAAA